CCCCTACGTGTATGATGGGGTTCTCACTGGCCTTGACCTGAACCCCAGACATATACCTTGCCTTGGGCTTGAGCCCCCCCGCAAGTAGGGTCCTGATGCCAAGCCCACCGCCACCTGAATGTCCCCAGTTCATGAGTCCAACACAAACGCCTGGCACTTCCCTATAGTGCTTGGGGTGCCATCCCCCCAGTGGACACACCAGCTGTGTGGCTCTGGGAAGACATGCTTCCTGCCCTGGCTGTTTGTAAGAGGGGTGATCTTGGTCATACTGTCATGAAAGCTGATGCCAGGATGCACATGGCCAATGATTGCTGTCAGCTGTGACGACTGTCCTGGAGACCTTCCCTCTCATCATCCTGTCACTCTAGCCCAGTGCTGCTCAACTAGGGGCTGCTTTGGGTCTCCAGGGGGATATTGGGCAATGTCTGGAGACATTTTTGTCACAACTGAGAGAGTGCTACTGGGCACCAAGTGGATGGAAGCCAGGCCAGGCTGCTCCTCATCCCACGAGAATTAGCTGTTCAAGGAAAGGGTGACAGCAGTGCCGAGAGTGGGAGGCCCTCCCCGCTGATTTCTAACTTGTTTGGGGGGTTCTAGACACTTTAGAGAATTGGATACAGGCTCTATACCCTCTCTTCCTGGAAGAACATGCATGTGAACATGCAGTTATTAGGATATTTAAATAGGATTTCAGGGGTTCTTGGAATCATCACCTCCATCTGGGCCAAGAATCCTCACTGTTATCCGTCTAGAAGCCATAGTGATGGCACTTGAATTTCAGTTTGTTCAGACAGACAAGTGACTTGTTCTTTAGTGATTGCCATGTCAGCCATCTTCCCTCTTGCTGACCAGAAAGCCCCCTCGCCTTTTTAACATGACGGGAGAAAATTAACAGGATTCAGTAGGATTTGCACAGAAGACACATTTTACCATTCTGAAAGGAATGAAAACAAGCTGTATGTAAATGAAACAAATTTTAAAGTGAAAAAAGGTACCAGCTGACCACCTGGGTCTCCCTGCCTGTTCACTCCCTGTCCTCAGGGCCCCCAGCCCCTTGTGCACATGGTCTGGCCTCTCAACCTCCAAGGTACACTTTTCCAAGGCCGCCAGCACGGAGATGGACAGGATCTGCAGCCACCCTCTCCCTCATCTGATTTCAGAAGACTTTGGCCCTCTGTGAGGCCTCAATGAACAAGGAGAAAATGTCTCCCAGACGCTTGGCGGGTGGCTGGTAGCAGGAAGCCTCGCTAATTGTTAGCTATTAGTATTTCCTTCTGTAAAATGGGGTTGAGATGAGAATTAAGAGACAAGGGCAAATTCAAGATACTGAACTGGATCTGAAGACATTCAAGATGATTTGCCTGTCTTAGAGCCAAGCTGAGGAAAATGACACAGGTGAGGTGTGGGAGGGGCATCTAACTCAAAGGGTGACCCAGCCCACATGACTTGTCAGCTGGACTTGTCATTTCCAGACTGTTCTTCCTCAGCGTGATTTGCAGGATGATGTGATTCTGGTCTCTGTGCTCCGCCTTCCTGAGTCGTCCCCCTCCCCTCCCAAAGCTCTCAGGGCCCAGGGCCCAGGCTGCCACCTCTAGCTCTGGCCTCCTCAGCAAGGCTGAGTCTCACCCTTCTGACATCCTTCCCTCAAAAAGATCAATGTAAATGAAAAGCTTCCAAGGGTGCTGCTCATAACAAGGTTTTAATAAAATAAAAAGTTCAAGTGCTTCCAATCCCCCAACATACCCCATTCTGGTGTGGGGGAGGGGAGGGTGCCCCCACACCCCAGTAGCACCAGGGATAGCACCATGAGAAAGACGAGGTCGCACCCGGCCTCCCTGAGACCCACAGGGGTGGTGGAGACATGCAGCCACCCCTACCTCAGACAGTCACAGAACTGAGAGCAAACCCCTCTCCTCCAAGGGGCAGTCTCCAGAAAGTGCCACCCCTACGTCAGTTCCCCTCCTCCTGAGGCCTGGGTTTTTGAGGAGATGCCAGGGGTGGCCCCCACCCCTTATGGCTTTGCTCCCTGGGCAGGAGAAGGTGGGCAGGGAGGGTATGCTCCTTTAATCCTGAGGCTTGGGGAAGGGGGCAGCAACGGCCAGGGCTCCCTGCTAGGTGGGGATGGCTCAGGGGTCAGCAGTCACAAAGGGTCAGGGGTCCAGTCCCTGGGGGTGTCTAGAGCACACCCACCCCCAGGTCAGCACTGTGCTGAGGTGGAGGGCCAGCTCCCTCCCAGAGGTCCAGGAAGTCTTGGAGGGTCAGTGAGTACCCAAGAACTTGGGAACGGGGGACTAGGAGAGCTATGCTGCCTGGCCCATCACGACCCATCACTGTTGACATCCAGGTCAATGGAGCCGTGGCTGACCACCAGCCGCAGGCGCTTGGGTGGGGAGAAGGGTGCGAAGGCGAGGGCCTGCTTGGGGATGGGGATGGGACCTGGGGTCCCAGTGGGGATGGGGGTGGCAGTGGTGGGGGCAGTGGCAGTTGGGGCGGGGGCCACACGACTCAGGTCCACACGCACAACGTGAGGCAGCCCATAGCGCCGGGCCCAGTGCCAGTCCTGCTGGGGGGCCCAGCGAGCACGAGGGGCTGGGCTCAGGGCTACCCGGGCCTCCGCCTGCAGGCAGCAGTGGGGGCCACAGCCTCCCCACTGGTGCAGGGAAACGCGGGCAGTGCGGAGAGCTGGGGGCG